CAATGGACAAAATGATTGTCCAAGTCCACCCTGTCTGGACCATTTTCTGCAAAGAAGGATCCTTTGCAAACAGGTGGCTTCCCAAATGACCATCTTGGCTGGCCAACTTAGCTTGGGGGGTCCTGCAAGAGTTCTTGATGGATTTCATGAACTGAGTAGTGTGCCCTTTGCTGACTGTCATGAACCGCTCTGCACCAGAAGGAATGGCAAGGAGCCCTTCACTTGCAAGTGCAAGGTCCTTGGTAAACTTGATTTGTTCATCCTTCTTTGCTGCTGACATCTCAAAAGCAACAGACCCTGTCAGCTGGGAAAGGTCTGCACCCATGGCGCAAATCATAGACCCCTTGGCGTGACAATTCCATGCATTTATGCCAAACCCTCCCCTGTTTGAGGGGTGCACCACAAACAGCTCTGGTGGCAGCTCTTGCTTGTATGCCAATCCATTTGACAAGAGTATTTTCTCAATTTGTGCCCATTTGTTGAGCAGCCCCAACCCTGAGAAGATGATGTTCTCCACATCCTCGATGACATCGCTGCTGATCATGGTGAAATCAGCAGAGCAAAACACAAATGCTACTTCAAACTCTGGTTTGTGCAAGAAACACTGCAATCAAATGGTTGACATGTCACACATGCATGCAATGCAGTGACAATGAGGTTTGGTGGGCAGCAATGAAACAATGTACATGAACCTCACAAGTGTTGAGCAGGCCATGATATGACATGAGCAGCCTTGCATATGCCAAATACAGGTGGTTGCAAGTGACAATTCAAACCACATGACAATTAAGTGGTTGCAAGTGTTCTCAATGCTGCATGATGCACATGGGTTACTACACAAAATGCATGTCAAAAGGCATTGCTGAAGCCTCAATAGGCCAAACAGAAACACATAACAATGACAAAACCCGTGCATGAAATGTTGCATGAATTATTGACCCAGGGCTTAAGGCATGCTTCTTTTCACACATCATACATCAGCTCATTACCAATCCATGTACATCAAGTCGAATCCATGTACATCAAGTCCAATATATGTACAATGACACCAGCTTGATACCTGGTGAAGCCCAGTTGATCTTCCAATCCTCTGGCAATGGTGATCCTGAACACTGTCGCAAATGGTTTCCCACACAAACTACTTATACATACTTTCATGATATGTTAAAACTTGATTTTAAAAACTCTTCTATATGCACAGTCCAAACCACCTTTCTTCCCAAAGGTTCTCATATTTGGCTGAGAGCCACCATGCACCATGCCAGAAGCCAATGCTAAAGCGAGGTTGTCCTTCATGCCACCACTGCATTTTCATATGTGCTGGGAAGAGGGCAAGCAATGCCTCTTCAGATCTCAAGGGCCAATACTGCATGCTGGCAGACATTGGATCTGCATTGCCCATGGCTGAGTCCATGACAAACAATGACAAAGTGAAAGGCAGCTGCAACAAATCTTGAGCACAGAATCTCACATGAACATGAACATTAACACATGTCAACC